AAGTGATTTTAAATGGCTCTCTCTCATCTCTTTTTCTCCGTGACTTACAGCCCAGGGTATCTAGAGAACTTGTAGATGAGATTTGCTAAATAACACTATCTGCTTTTTAAAAAATCCTGGAGAATGGGAAAGAAAATAAAAGAGTGGGAAGACGTAAATACAGTACTGATTTTCACAAAAAAGAAGAAAAAGTTTGCTTAAAAACTATGAACTGGATTGAACTTGAGGTCATCTGGGAAAAAAAGTCTACAAGGCATTCTTAAAAGCATGGCTAGTGAGCGCTGAGAAGAGGAGGGCGGAATTTCTGAGACCCAGAATAAATTCTCAAGAAACAGATCACAACCAACTTAACACATTTTGGATAGATGGAAGGAGATGTTATTTTAACAAATCATCAAAGAATAGCTCTTAAAAAGCCCTTGGATTTAATAGTGAAACGAGATAAAGGAGTATCAAGTTTTTAGATTCAACGTGGTTTGAAGGCATTTAATCAAAGGCTATTTATTGTTTAAAGGCTCAGTCAGTCAGTCACTGGGATGAGGACCTCTACTTGTTGCCTAAATTTGTTGGTATCATGAAGCAGGGAGATACAACATACATGTTCTATAACCAGATAATGATCAAATATAAATTAAAAAATATATTGGGAGTTTAGGCAAATGGATCAAATCTAGTAAAAAAAGAAATATGAAATTTAATGTGGTTATGTACAATTTGGGTCAAAACATTTTGCTCTTCTGGGACACATGGGTTGGGGAAGGTTGGTAAAAGTAAATGTTCTTTAAAAAGTAGGAATTTGAGAAGAAAATAAACCTAGTATGAATTAGTCATGTCATATGACTCTTAAAATGATAAGGCAAGCAATAGTTCTATTCTACTTTAGTAAATCCCACCTGGTTTATTATGTTCAGCATTAATCTCTTACAATTGCATAGATAATCCCAAGAAAATCAGCTGGAAAACCATTGGCACAATTAAGCTATCTTTGGGTCAGAGGCCATTATATGAGTAATTGATATTAGCTTATAATATGGGCTGGTTCCTTGACCTAAATCCAGAGCTGTGTCTTAGTCCCCAAATATTCTCCCTTGGTCGCAGGCCTCACAGATCAGCAGTGGCCCCCGCCCATGTTTAGTATGTATTGTATATAATGTGTAATCCAACAAATGTTTATAATGTTCTCACCGTGTGTCATTCACTGTTCTAAGTGCTGGTTCATAACAGTCAAGGTGCTGTCATGGACTTATAGTCTAGTGGAGCAGACCTGCAATGAAAAAACAAATAATATAGTTTTAGGTTACAATACACTTTAAAGAAATAATACAGGGCAATATGGTGAACATAATGAAGGGAGAGGGAGAATAAGGTAATTAGACAGTAACTACTTACTACTTAACTACTTACTTTTCCCTTAACTAAGGAAAAAGAAGATATTTGAGCTGAAATGTGAATGACCTGAGGGGTCAGTCTTACAGATACAGAGGAAATGTGTTCTTTAGGTAGAGAACAGCAAGTGCAAAGGAATCAGCTTGGTGTGTTTAAGGAACTGAAAGAAGGCTGTTACGAAATGGAGCATAGTAAATAAGGAAGACAGTGATAAGAGATTGAGTGAAGGGAGAAGATTATTTATTACCTTGTAGATTATGTGAAAGAATTTAGATTCTTCTCCCAATTTAATGGGAAACCCAACATAGGATTATAATCCTGGGAGCAGCATCTGATGTATGTTTTTAAAAGATCACTTTGAATACTATGAAAAATCAATTACAAGGGAGAAATAATAGAAGCAGGACACTGTTAGGAGTATTCCTACAGTTCAGGCAAGCAATGATGACGGCTGAAGGCATGGAGGTGGAGAAAATTGTTAGAGGAAGAGCTGATAGGTGTATAGAAATATTGGGGTGGGGGTAGGGAGAATGGAAAATTGGTAAGAGTCACTGAATTTGGCAAGAATTAATTCAGTTGGTAAGAATCAGTGAAATTGAGAAGAGTAAATTCAGTACAGCAAAAAAGCTAATAGAATCAAAAGGTAGCAGAGTGAGTGAGAAAGGAAAACGGGTGCTTAAAATTCAGATTTCAGACATGTTGTACTTGATGAAAAAGTAAAAGTTATGAATTTTGGAGTATGCAGCTGAAGTATTCCAGGCCTAAAGCTTAGCCTTAGGGGGGCATATAATTGAAGTGAAAAAGTCAAAGAATTTAATCATTAGGTTATTTATTCAGTGATTCAACATGATGACACTGAGATCACCAAGAAAGATTGTTGGAATGGGGTGAAGAGGAAGGCAGTGATAATATGATTTTGTGTGTTATTTTCATGTTTGATAATATGATTTCAACGTGTAACTTTAGAGGGATACCAGCATTCAGTATACAGTAACAAGTAAGTTCCAATTTCTTAAGCAATATCCCTTTTGTTTCCCTGTCTTTTCCTTGTTTCAGTAAATGGGAAGCTCCTAAAAAAATAATTTCTTTGAGTCAGTCCTTCTTTGCTCTCTCAAAAACTAAATCTCATTTTGTGTGTTATTTTCATGTTTGATAATTTACTGCGTAACCTTCTTTTAGCCTCTGACATTCAGTCCTCCCTGCTCAGCCACATGCAAAGCAAGGGTATCCCTACTTGCAGTGAGGGGCTGGAGCACACGGGGTGGGGGAGAGGCAAGACAATGGGGAGGGGATACACTGAGTGGTGTAGTCCAATGACCTGAGCCTCAACACATGTGGGATTTGGGAGGATAGCAGATGCCTGATGGTATTTGAAACAGTAATGAGGAAGACACTTGCTTCATGTCCAGATTTATAAGAATATGGTATATGAGAGAAAAGGCAACCTCTCTTTGAGGGGACTACAAAGAAGGTGTAGAATGATAGAGGGTTTGTGAAGGATGGTAAATCGATCAGATTAGGAGATGCAAAAAAGCAATAAAGAAATGAGTCCAGATGATGGATGTACTTTGTATAGATATAGTATAACATATGCTCATTTGTTACTTGATTCAGACCCTATAGAACATTTAGACTCTATAGAACATTTTTCTATAGAGATCAAGCAATAGTATAGATAACTAAAGAGTTTACAAAGTATTAAGACTGGGCACTTAATAATGGTAAAATCCATTAGGAAAAGGCAACAGCAGAGAAATGTGTAAGAGTTAAGGTGGAATTTGAAAGGAGTGAAAGAATAGAAAATATCAACAAAGAGCAAACTTCCCCTCTCCCCCAACACAAATGTTTGGGCTGCTATAACAAAAATACCACAGACTGGGTGCTATAAACAACAAACATGTATTTCTCATAGTTCTGGAGGCTGTGAAGTCCAAGACCAGGGTACGGGTGGGTTCAGGGCCTGGTGAAGACCCGCTTCCTGGTTCATGTACATTGCCTTCTTGTATCCTCACATGGAAGAAGGGGCGAGGGAGCTCTCTGGGATCTCTTATATAAGGTCACCAACCCCATTCATGAGAGCCCTCATGACTTAATCACCTCCCAAAGGTGCCACTTCCTAATGCCATCACATTGGGAGTTACGATTTCAATATGAGACTTTAGAGGGACACCAACATTCAGTATATAGTAACAAAGAATAAGTTCCAATTTCTTCAGCAATATCCCTTTTGTTTCCCTGTCTTTTCCTTGCTTCAGTAAATGGGAAGCTCCTAGAAAAATCATTTGAGTCAGTCCTTCTTTACTCTCTTAAAAAATAAACCTCATTTTGTGTGTTATTTTCATGTTTGATAATTTACTGCATAACCTTCTTTTAGCCTCTGAGACTCAGTCCTTCCTGCTCAGCCACATGCAAAAGCAAGGATACCCCTATTTGCTGATTTTTAAATTCTCTTCAAGATGCAATCTATAATAAATGTAGAGTTAGTAGGCTATATGAAGACAGGTGGCAGGCTGGATCTGGCCTGTGGGCTGTGGTTTGCTGACCCATGTAATAGGACTTACCTTTCTTATTCTTTTAACTTTTTCCACTCTGTCTCTTAAATGATATTTTAGTTCTATCATGACATTTTTCTTAAGTTGTCTATATATTTTTTTTCAACGCTCTGGTAAAGATATGACCCATGCTAAATTAAAAATGGGAATACAACCTCTTCTATTTCTTTATTTTATTGTTACATTTTCCACTTAAAAATCAATATAACATGATTGACCCATTCTATTTTTTATCCACAGGCTTTAAAAAAAAGGGTAATTTTGTATTTTTTTCTTTTATTTTTCTTCTCAAAATGTTATTATTTTTGATGCTTTCTTATTTTGAAGAACTTCTTTTGAACTTAACATTGAGTTTTTCATCTTTTCTTTACCTGACAATAGTTCTAAAATTTCATCCTGGCCTTTTAATGAAAAAAAAATAGTACACATATTAGAAAAAAAAGTAAAATAAATACTTAAAGTACTACAATTGCATGCAACCATCTGTTACATGACTGGATAAAATACTTTGTTTACATCAAGGTAAACAACATCCAGATAATTTCAGATCTATAAACTCAGCATTCTGACTTGAAAGGAAGTTTCTGGTTGCTTTCTTATAGTATACTTTCTAGGCAGCTGACCCATGAGATGCTGGAAAGTATTATGTAATTGAAGTAGTACAGACAGACCTGGTCCAAATTCCACCTGACCCTTCCTAGATGCATATTATTGAGCAACTTAATTAATTTCTTAGAGCCTAAGTTTTCTTAAAGTGCTCAAAATGCATAGTCAGTGAATTTGAATTCCCATCCATCTTTTTCCCCTTTATGCATAATCTTTTATCACATGGAAGTAGCCATGTTAAAAGATTTGGGGGAGAAAAACTCATATTTTATGGTGGTGGGATTGTTGGTTTTGGTTTTTAACCTTTTGCAGATATGAAGTAAAAGAACAAAAAACCCAACTAACGGTATTCCCAAAATTGAACTAATGTTTAAAAGATGGTGTAGATTATAAATGTCTTCTGTACTTTTCATTAATATTTCCTTTGCTTTGTTCATTTTACTTCTGAAAACTTAGGTTTGACAGTTCTCTGGAAGACCTACCTAAGAGTGGACCTCACCCACCTGCAACTCCTCAGGTGTTAACTATTGGTAGCCAAGTAGCCACACTTGCTAAAGTAGCAACTACTTATTCTAGGTAGTTTTTCCTTCTTGGCATGTCTAAATGTCAGCGCTGGTGGTGAATTTAAATACTTAAACTGTTTGACTGAAAAACAGAAGGTGATCACTGATTACAGCACTGACATCAATAACATATAGAAAAGGAAGCTTGGCACTCAGCCTCAGAACACTGCTATACGCTGCTTTTGTATGTTTGGTTTAGTTTCTACCTTCTAATGTAGGATCAGGAAATTTGTGTTTTTATTTATTCACTTTATGATTTGGAAAGTCAGCTTGCTGAGTTTGTCATAAGTCTTTTCTGCAGTAGAGCATTCACCTTAAAAAAAAAATAAGATAATTCATCTCTAAAAAAGAAATACAGAGGTCATACATAATGCTACCAGATGCCCACACATATTCTAAAGATATTCTGGTCAATAATTCTGCTTATAATGCTAGATTTTGCTGGTACTAAGTCCTTTTATATTATTATTTGTGATACAATATGATAAAAGAAATTTGTTACTTTCCTTTTCTTCTTACTGGAGAAGAATAAATTAGCTGATTTAATCTTTAGCTGATTTTTTTATAGACTAAGTTTCTAGTTCTTATTATTGGCCATTACTTCCCTCCACCATGGCCTAAAAGATGCAGAGTAACTGACAAACTGAAATGTTGAATCGCTTGCTAAATTTATTCTCAATGAATTGACATTCATTGCTCTGCCATTGATAGCATCTTTCTTTTCTCTTTCTAGCCCCCATTCTTTCTTTTATAACTATTCACAATTATTAAAACATAGCCATACACAAAGGAAAGATACATATTTATGTTGATGGCTGTCCCAGTTACTCTGGCTTGACTATTAACCATTGTATGCTTGTATCAAAATATTGCATGTCCCCTATAAATATGTACATGTAAGTATGTATCCCAGATAATTAAGAAGAAAAAAGAAGTAAAAAAAGCCACATAGTTCATTTTAATGGATAGACTTGCAAAAAAAATTATACTTAAAAAATTCTGTATAATTTTTTAAAAAATGACTTGCCACTGTTTCTTTAATTTTCCTTCCCTAATGGTTTGTAAAGTTATATCCTATGGAGCTTGAAAGAATGACTTATCACTTCTGACAGGGAGAAGAGACTTATGCCAAGCCTCACATAACCCTCAGACATGTGAGCTTTCATTAACCTGGGTTGCGTTTGGCACATAATTACTTTGTGTTGGAGGTGGCCACTGTCACAGACTTTTGAAAAAAGTGGTTGTGGTATTCATTATAATGATGATCATTAATAACTTGCACGCATGAATGGAGACTACAAGTTTGACACTATGCAATTTAGACTTTTTTATTTTGCTTAATAAATATCAACTCTCAATTCTAATTTAATAACCAATTTGGAAATCATAACACTTCTAATGATAGAATAGTAATTCCTGTTGAGGTGTTTGATCTTTTCTAAAAGACCAAGGGAAATTATTATTTTAAGTAATAAGGGTTCTGAAGATAAAATTTTATATCTGCATTTTAAAATCTTTTCAGAGCTTACTGAAAATAGAAATATGGAACTCAGCAGAGGTGTTATTTTGGTTATATTCACTGTAACTACTGTTTATTTTTGCAGAGGTGCTTGCCCTCTAAGAGATTTACTCTCAATGTTTTAAATAGTTTTTCTTGTTCGTGTTAATATTGATATACATTGCTGCTTCTGAACAGGAAGCCAGTTATACCTGCTAATTATTAAAATGCAAGTCTCATTAAAATGTCACCTTACCAGTATGTATCATCTCTAAGGTAAAACTCTTCATATAGAGACTTTTTGGAAAAAATAACTTAGTTTTACTTCTTTCTCTACCTATATTAATAGAAATTCAAACTTCCTGTTTAGATTTATTTTCTACTTAGTTGTTGGCAAATCAATCTTCCCATGTTTGTTACAATACTGATTTAATTTTAAATACAACAGAGACACTGAACTTAAATATATTCAAGGATGTTTATATGCCAACAGTCCATGTTTATGAAGGATTATACATCAACATTTTAATTTCGGAGGGAAATTGTAGCAACACTAAATAAGTAACCTGAACTCCTGTTATACCTCTTACGTTCTATACCTTTACAATGTCTATATATTAATATAGGATGGTTGCTATCTTGTATTTATTATGCTGCCTTTTCTCACTTTTCTTTTTGTTCCTCTCCTTGTTTTTATTTCCCTACCTGTCAGTTTTAGCAGCTCCACAAAAAATGTAGAAGTTTCTTTGGAAGGTTCTCGAAACTTTTCTGCCTTCTCTCCTCCTGCTAGATATAGTGCTGCAGTGCTGAGTAGCGCAGCTGCTACTGTGTCCACTGTCATTGCTGCAAAAACCAGGTAGAAGTCCACGTGCAGCGTCTGTCTGATGTGATGCAGTGCTCTTCACTGCACGAGTCACCTCAAAGAAAACACACCCATGTCAGAAGGTCACCGCTCCAGTATGAGCACTTAATAATGGATATTTAATCTAGGTTGTGGATGAATCCCACAGTATTTGTTACTGATTTTTTAAAAAAAATCCGTCTTTTTAATCTCCTGTTGCTGCCATGTTTGTATGGTATTTCTCAGTTGCATGGATTATTGCATGCCATGTGCATATTGAATTGGGTCTTACAGTTTTCAGTTTTTATACTTGAAACATAATAAAATATAAATGGGTATTTTAAATGTCTACTGACTTTTTCCTTACCCACAACCTTTAGAGCGTGATTGAAAGCCTAACTACTCTCTGAAACACTCCTCTCTCCCCAGAAAAAAAATTGTTTTATTTTTGTGGGTTTTTTTGTTCTTAGGTGATTTCTGTAGTCTTTAAAGCTTTTGTTGCTTTCCAAAAAGATTGCCTTGACCAATTTTGCTGAAAATTTAATTAATCTTATGTGAATGAGTAAAATAATGTAATTTAATTACTTTTATGTGAATGAGTAAAAATAACTGTAATAAACTCTTGGCCCTTCCTCTCATCCTCTTTCCCTGCTTCGTGCTTCCCCACTTTTCCCCCTCCCTCCCCCATTCCCCCTCTCTGAAAGGAAATGTTTCTAATCCTAGACCTTAAAAACTACTTTCTGCTGTCGGAGGTGTGATTCTTGACTTCAGACTCTTTCTAAATGCTTGCCAGGCTCTCCAGTCCTGAAAGATATCACCCACTCCTGAATGCGCTTTGCATCAGCCCTGTCTCCAAGCCTTTAGCTTTTCCCTGTCTTCTGTCCTCCGGGAAATCAACTGGCTCTATCCCTGTTGAGAAAACAAGGTACTGTGGGAGCAGATATCAAGTGATGGTTGGCTGTTAAGGACGCCGCTTTCTCTAACACTTAACCACCATATTAACAGGCCAGACGAGAACATCCTTGATGAGTTCTAGGGATTTGTGCCCAATGTTGAATAAACTGCAATTTCAGTACAGTGGTGACATGTGAGCACATTGCTTTGTGTCATTATTAACTCACCTTTTAACGCTTTCTGACATTTTTCATTAGCATACTTGATACTTGGTATGAAATTTTGAGTACCTGTGCAATTATTTAAATTATACTAGAATCCTGTCTGAAGATTTTTCTTGGAAAAGCAACTTAATTTTCACTATATCTGAGAAATGCTAAAACGCAAAAATTAATCCCCCCCCCCCAAACTTGATGATTAGGCCAAAAACGTTTAGGTATAATATAAAAAATAGAAATATCACAAGTATTTATTTACTAAAGGTATAATCATAGTAAAATAACTGTATAAAATCATTTGTGACAGAATAAAGTGAATGACAGAGTGTACAACTGTGACTATAGTTAGCGAAAACCTGATGTAAGTAGGCTGTCTGTTGATTAGGTGTTTGTATCCTAACCACTGTTATGGAGGTTTTCAATAAACTTACTGTTATTCTGGGTAACTTCTAAGGGACATGTTTAAGCATAGGGGAGAGAGATCACAGTACATTTTATTCTAAGAAAAAAATATCTGAAATTGTTTTATATTTTATATATTTGCAGAATTGTGCTAAATAAGCGGAAATTTTTCATTGTCAGGGCTAAGTTTGTACTGAGACAGTTGTTACTGACCACTTTGAAGTACACTTTGAATACTTGAGTACACTTAGACCACACCTGAGAACCTGATGGAATGCTATAGATTCTCTCTCCGGAAAAGTGCCTGTGTGCATGTACACACAAAAGTGTGCATGCGATTGCGTATTGACTGAAGCTATCTATGGGTCCACCTCTAAAAAAAGTATTAGTAGTCATTACCATTGCTTCTTATTAACAGCAGTAGGGTACAGGCAAAGTATATTTTGATATATATAGAGAAATGGTTCTTGAAAAGATAGTTAGCGTTCTAGAAAGCAGGAATATGGGGTTTCCTGAGAAGACCCTTGTTAACTTAGTGGGCCCAAAAGAGCAGATGGGATGGTGTCAGAGACATTTTATCTCTGAGTTTTGCTTTTGTGTGACAGTAATCTTTACAATAATAAAAACAGTATAGTACCAAACCTGTTTCTTTTCATTGTAGTATATTTAGGCACTTTGAATTTTGGTGTAAAAACTCGTAAGTTAAAGAATTTTGCTTAGGAAAATATTGAAAATTTTTATGTAAACACAGAATTCTGGAAGGAAAGGCATTCATTACCTCTTCATCTGCCCAGGGCCTTTTATAGAGCTCTGACAGAAGAATTCTAAAAAACAGAAAGTTGTGCGTAACTGAGGCCCTTTCAGAAATATTTGTTTCCCACCACTTCAGAGTCTGTACATTAATATATCATTTTTTTGGTCAGACTTCAGCTAAAAACTGATTAGCTTAGACATTGATAATTAAATATGTGCTATACAGTTGGCTTTTTAAAAATTTAAACATGCTACTCAGGAGGCTGAGATGGGAGGATTCCTTGAGCCCGGGAGTTTGAGGCTGTAGTGAACTATAGGCATGCCATTTATACTCCAGCCTGACTGGCAGAGTGAGACTTTGTCTCTAAAAGAATAAATAAATAAAAATAAAATAAAAATAAACATGTAATTAGAATGAAAGTTACTTTCAAGTGTATTCTTCAAGCAGAGTTTTTCTTTTGAAAATAGGCTTAAAATTTCCAAGTGTTCTTAATCTGTAGCTGAACTTTATTCACTGTAATAGTTAAACAAATGTGGGAAAGGAATGTAAACTCAAGATAAATTAGGTTGTTGACACCGAAAGTTAATTTTTGTTCCTTTTTCTTTTTTCCTGATTAGCTTTGTTTTGAAAAGAAACCCTTACTCTATTGGTATATTTGTCTCTATTTTCAGTTTTAGAAATATGAAACAGAAATCTTGGTAATCTTGAGATAGAAGTCATATTAATTTATTATTTCATTTCAGTCCTTGTTTACTTGGCAGACTAGTGAAAATGACCATATTTGATTCTCAGCATCTGTGGGATTAGCCGAGGATATTTATAGATTTACACTAAGTTCCTCATTAGAATTCTTTAGAGAGCATTTTAATTTTTGTTTAGAACCTAGGTATACCTTAAATTATTTAAATTTAGAAAAAATATATTTTACTCATGAGTTCAGAAATAAGCTAGTAATCGCATTTAAGGAACAATGGTATACTATATTATTAAATTAGTCACTAGAATTTTAGAATATTTTGCTGCCAGTGATTATTGATAACATTTTATTCCCAAATATAAAATAATATGGCCAATAAGTTTATTAATTCTCTCATCTTTAGTACATGATACCTAATGTTTATGTGTTTTCTTTAAATATTAATAGTAGCTAATAGTTAAAAATTAGAAAAAAGATATGTTAGATCTTTAGAGGCTTGGGCATCATATATATTCAGATATATGATTGCCTAGATAAAGCCTAATTAGCCTACATTTTAATTAAATACAGATCTATTTCCCCAGAGAAAACTGAACTTCAGATCAATCGTGAATTTAAACAATAAATGGAAAAACTTTCTTGTTTGTAACTTAGATTTCTATAAATTCTTATATATTGATTGATTGACTGATCGATTGATTGAGACAAAATCATGCTCTGTCACCCAGGCTGGAGTGACAACCATAGCTTACTGTGACCTCAAACTCCTGGGTTCAAGTGATCCTCCTGAGTAGCTAGGACTACAGGTATGTGCCACTGTGTCTGGCTAATTTTAAAAATATTTTTGTAGAAATGCAGTCTTGCTATGTTGCCCAGGTTGATCTCGAACTTCCGACCTCAAGCAATCCTCCCACCTCGGCCTCCCAAAGTGCTGGGATTACAGGCATGAGCCACCGCGCTTGGCCTATAAATTCTTCATAATCTACTCCAAGCCCTTTTAATCTAAAGAGTACTGTTTAAGATTTAAACATCTTAGGGCTTTTGAGAGAGAATGTATACAAGCCTGTGTGCAAAAGGTACAATAACAAGTTAAAATATTTTTTAGCATACATGAGAATTTTAAGAAATTTAAAATTGAGTTGAGGAAGCAAGATTGTGTCTAGGGTCAATGTCCTAGACCCAAACTATTCACAAACTACATTTAGAAGCAAAATTATTAGTACAGATGAGAGGGGTTTATTTAGTAAATGTATTTATTATTAATATGCCAGACTAGATATTACAGGATGTAGAAATAATAAGTCCTTTCATTTCTTGAGCATATACTCTGTGCTGCCCACTATGCTAAGTACTTTACATGTATTATCTCATATTTCATTTAATTCTTATAATAACCTTGGAATAAAGGTAGTGTTTTTATACCATTTTACAAGTGAGGAAATTTACTGAGTTTACGTAACGTACCCAAAGTCACATTAAAGTCTCCAACCTTGGGTAGTTTATCATGCAGTGGAAGAGACAAGATACATAAAGACGTTACTATTAATAATAATTTAAAAATGGCTGTTACAAGTCAACATAAAATTATATGCCATGCGCTTAACAAATGCTGTGAGTTAAAAGGAGTGTCTGTACTTCTAGAAGCTGAGTAAGTAAATAACATGTTAATTGCTTAGCATGGAGCACAGTGCATGATGGATATTATTGTTAATGCAAATATTGTTAATGATAGATAAGATTTGGATGGGTGCAGACAGGATGGAGAGGGGTACGTGCCTACTATGTAGAGCCTAGAAAAATAGAGTTGTGGACAGAGTAGGGGCAGCCAGAATATAGTTTGTATAGCATAGTGATAGGAAATTAGATAAGATAAGATTAGATTAGTAGATTGTAGCTTTATCTTAGAAGGTTTTGAATGTCATGCTGAAGTGTAACTTAGCTCTCCATTCTCTAAATGGTTAAATCCATTCTACAGCATCTCTATGCTCTGCTTAAATACAATCTGCAACTTAAATGTGTTAGGAACAGATTTTTTTCCCTTCTTGGGATATATATTTTTTTAATATTAGGAAGTACTTACTTGCTTTTATTGAACCAAATCTGTCTCACTGTAGGTTCAACTCATTGACAGTAGGCAAACAGAATATGAGATTTGAGGGTGGCTCTCATGCTTCTCTTGGGGGTTTTTCATACCCTGGGCCAATATTACCAGTTTCCTCAACCAAACTTTATTAAGTTTGGGACTGAATTTCTACCATCCTGGTCACTCTCTTCTAAGTAAATTTGTCTGGCAACTCTCCTGGAATTAAATTTTAATTCTTTCAGATTACTGAACATGAAATGATGATCATTTGGGTTTTATTGTTATTTCCAGATTATATTTTTGTTTGGCTATACATTTTCTTCTTAGAATTGGGACTGTATAGATTATTAGTTACTTTTTATTAAATCCACAAGAATACTTAATTCTAGAATGAAAATGACTTATACATAAGTATTTCAAAAATCATTTCTTTGAAAAATATTAAAAACAAGTCTTTTGTTATTTGACCATATTATCCTTTTCATATGTTAAACTCATATTCTGTGCCTTAGAGTATGCTTAGCTCTTTATACACAATCACTTTATTTATGCCTCATAGAAATCTTATGAGCAAAATATTATCACCAAGGTTTAGGTAATTGAGACTTAGAGAAATAAAATAATTTGTCTATCACAAAGCTTTTAAAAGATGCTTATAGCAACTGTACTATAATGTTTGAACTCTGTTTCCACTAGTGCTTTTCGTTGTATTGCCTTTGTTGTTAATCGTTTTCAACATTCCCATTATGTAAGCAGTCTTTCACTCTTTATCTATGGTAAAAATTATTAAAGTACATAAATTTTTCATTGTATAGTATGTTTTAACATCAAGCAAGTCTTAAGTTTTTTTTAAACCAATCAGAAATAACAAAAGGTGATGACTATTGTACTTGAATTTGAGAGAATAGGAAACAATATTTCAAGAAAGTAAACATATCTTTAGTACAATTTTGCAAAACTGTTTATTATCAGAGGTGCCTCAAAACTACTCACAGGTTTGATGTTTCACTAGAAAGACTTACAGGACTCAGCACATATAGTTGTACTCATGATTAAGATTTAGGACAACAAAAGAATACAAAGCAAAATTAGCAAAAGACAAAGGTGCATGGGGCCAAATCTGGAAGAAATGAGGCTCACGTTTCCAAGAATCCTGTCCCGGTGGAGTCACACACAACATGCTTAATTCCCCCTACAGCACGTTATGTCAAAATGTGCAAAGTGTTGTCTACCAGAGAAGCTCACTAGAGATTAAGTACCCAAGGCATTCATTAGGGGCTTTTTCGTGGGTACCCTGTGCCCAGTTTGTACCAAAATCCTGGACTCTCAGAAGGAAAGCAGTTGTTCAGCATAAACCATATTGTTTATACAAAGAGTTTAGGCACAGTGAGTCACTGTTACCAGTTAGAGAAAGTTTTATGTCACTGGGAATGGTTTGCCAAAGGCCAGCGTTGTAAGCAGGCCTTCTAAGGATGGGTAGTCTGAGGCTACTCTGTTAGGTGTTACCGGAAGTAAGGTGCTCTTGTTCATTTGGCAGTACAGTGGACATGATAGAATTTGAAATTTCTTATCATTGAAATAATCTCTACTGAAACAGTATAATTAAGGGTATGTATTTCACTGAATTTATCAGTAGAGTACCCAATCTCTATCAGTCTGTTCCTCCAGCTGTTGTTTCCAGTTACTGAAAGAATCGAGTTTCTACACATGGAATTATTTAAGCAACCAGTATTAAAAAGTTAAGGAATAGGAAGTATTTTTTTATTATTACTGTTATACTTGATGGAACGAATGGCTGCTATAGTATTGTATCATTCCAAAGCATATATTTTATACTTTGGGCTGCCTCAAATTATTTTTTTGTGGGGGAAATGATGTATATATAATTATAAATAACAAATGACCTGGTAATATAGGCCATATGATCTTCTAATCAAAACTGGGACCACCATAAATAAAGGCCTCCTGTTAATAAGCACATAGCTTTGTTGAGAGAAGATAACGATAGGCTTGTGTCTTTTTCCCTGTTAATACGAACACAGAACGCTGGACGTTCTTTTAGGCTAGGGGACGTTGTCTCTTGTTTGTCACTGTGTGATCGGGGCATAGCACAACATCTGGCGTATCATAGGTGCTTAAATATTTATTAAATGAGTCAGTATGTGAATAAAAAGAGTAACTTGTGAGGTGTCAGGGAAATTAAGTTCACAAAATATCAGAAGAATGTGGGAAAGATGAAGCATCTACACCATTTCGCAGAGATTATCGGGAATTCTCCGATCATTTATCGTCTTAATCTAGATGACTCTTTTGAAATGTTGAGAGAGAGAGGAATAGGAAGGGGAAATTAGTTTATCATTTAAAGAGATTGGCTATTATAAGATAATTTTAATAGGCCATTTCTCACGGTAGCATTTCCAAACATGTATATAATAGAACAAATGCAATCTGACAGCTTTCCTTTCCTCCAGTCATGATGTTAGATCATTGCTAAATTAGATTACTACCACTCCATCAAATGTGTTTCTTTCTTTTCTTTACAGTAGCCCTCAGGAGGCTTCTCCGCAAGTGGCTTCTTCCTCGGTGGCTTCGGCGCGGAGCATGCCGGAGAGCGTGGAAGGGCCAGCCTCGGGCAGAGCGGGGGTGGCCGGCCTCACCACCGCGGCTGCCTTCAAGCCACTAGGATCCACCAGCGTTATCAAGTCCCCAACCTGGCAGCGGCCAAACCAAGCAGGTAATCCAAAGAAATCTCTTGCTTTTTTTCTTAAGTGAGTATAATTATGAAAACGCATTCTGGGACATACGATAGAATTCACTGGTAAAACCCATTCTCAACCATCTAAGAGCTAGAAAGGACCATATAGAAGAGCTATAGCTGTTTTTCTCTCAGAGATGTCTCCTAAACATTCTCTGTGTGCATTTGATACAGTTACCATTTGCCATTCATGACTGCAGAACCAGATATTTCCTTATTTCCCAGGTTACTCAGAAAGCCTGTGTTGAATTGTAGAGTCAGGGTTCTATTTCATAGCAGACTCTATTGTTGGAAGGTTGTCCCCGGAAACACACTACTTCAGTTTTGCTGATATGTACAAATAACTATAATAGACATATCTGTTGCCATCAAACAATTATCAAAGAAAGCATCTTTAAATTCTTGTTCTTTGACAATTTATGAAGCAGCAGCAGGACAGAGTACTAGAAAGAGAGCCTTTGAATGGGAGGGATGGAACAACGTGACCTCAATCTAGAAACCTGAGTTCTCATTCGCTTCTACAAAGAAATAGCTTGAAATAGAGTCATTTAACCTCTTTGACCCTCAGTTTTCTGATCAGCAAAGTGAAGGGAGACTAAATCATTTCCTGTTTCTCCCAACATGAACAAAGTTTATGATTATATAACGGATGTACCTCTTTTAACAGGAAGGTGGGATTATACTTAAATGTGGCCAGTCCCACACTCAGCCCTCATCTCTTCTTTATACTCTTCCTGGGTGATTTTATCCAGGTTCCTTTTGCTACCCAGCCATCAACAATTTACAGTTTTCTCTCCCCTGAATTCCCTCTCCTCAAACCATTGACCTATTTGCTGTCTCCTCGTGGCACCTCAGATGCAGCATGTCTGAAATGACCAAGTCCTATCTCTGGGAATGCGACGTCCACTCAGTCACCAAAGCTAGACACTCACTCTCACACAGTAACTAACACCTGATGATTTCACTTCTCAGTATTTCTCAGCTTTCTCTCCTCCATCATCAAAACCATTGCCTTGTTTCAAGGCCCTCTTCATTATTACTTCTGTCTAATTTCCATGTCTCCTTCTCACTCCTTCCATCTGTCCTCCATACTTCACCAAGCGATCTTTCTAAAACCCTGATTTACCATGTGCTCCCCTGGGAATGGATGCTTTCCTGTCTCTCACCATCCTTAACATATCATTTCAGACCTTTTGTACTTTGGCCCCTGCTACTAACTTCTCACCCTCATCCCTTGCTTCTGCCCAACTTACAGCCTGTGCTTGGTTGCACTAAACCGTCTTCAGTTTCTGAGACATGCCATGTCACCTTGCTTTCGAAAGTTCTTGTCCCTCTGTGTAGAATGCACTTCTTCACCCAGTCCTAGTCTTTCCTCATCAGTTTTGGGATGAGTATTGATTGAATACACAAGGCACTACTTTCAAAATGTGATAGTTTTAAGAATTGATCATTTAAGAATATTTTTGACATTTGTAAAGTGGATTTTAGTTAATTAGGAATCCATCTTTATTTCTGTGTTTTCCACAGTGTTTAAATGTATTAGACACTAAATAAATTCCTTTATGATAAATAAATTCTCTTTAAAAAAGAATCATTTATACGATTTATTTCATAGTAGCCTGTATATTACATGTTGCTAATTTTGCAAAGGAGCTGGAAGTATTTGTGTTGTGTTGGAAAGAGGATAGGCCATTGCATATGATCTAGACTAATTTTAAAAGAAAGACTATTTTATTGTTTTTAAAAACTTAAAATATTCAGACAAACATCATTAGCTTCTAAACCATCTGGACTATTATTAATTGACTTAGCAAGACCAATTTTCTTGGGAAAACAAGCGCTGCTGAAGCTCTGCCCTATAAATGTTGAGCTATGTGTATTTACTTAAAGCCTGTGTATGATGGTGGAGATTTGCTGTAATTATTTTGTGTTTGCATTTGAATACAGAAAGTAACTTTCAGAAAAATCCCTTTGGTGTAGTAACTGGAAACTAACAGGAGAATGTTTTATAAAACAGCAAGGAAAAAGACTAAAATGTCTGAAGTAGAAATAGAAAGGAAGGCACAAAGTATATAGACAGGACAGGGCACAAAGTATATATATATATATGGCTTTTGGAAGTTCAGAAATGTATGGTCAAAAAACTGTCCTGCCTCTTAAAGTGGGAAGAAAAAATTCCAGTTGCTGTGGAACTCCTGGAGAACGCAGTGTAGCAAATTACCACAAGAGGGCGATGGACTCCTTTCTTCTCTGAGTCTAATTTAATTTGTTAGAATAATCAGAGCAGGCAAATAGCAACTATAATCATGATTCACATGGTTAGTATTTTAAAAATTATGGGTTTTTCTAGAAAATACAAGTTAATTTAATGAGCAAAACTATGACAGTCTAAAACATTATATCACCTTATATAACATTATAAGGCAATATTATGAAAAGAAAATATGTTTCCCTATTGTAGAGTCGTAGTTGAATTACATCATAAACCTTAGCTCAAATCAGAAAATATTTACTGAGCTCCCATTTATATTGCTCTAGGTGCTATAAATTGGCTTTTAATCAATTATTATGCTATGTAAAGGTTACTTATTTTATACTATTTTGTAAAGTTAAAAAAATAAATATAAAATTCCCAGCCACTCTAATTCTTTTATGGTGCCCCACCCAAAGCTATATCATAGTTTAAAACAACCACCACAGAAAACCCACCTCTGAATCTATTCTGATTTAGTCTTAGATATAACCGTTTCAGAGATTCTTGGTGCAAAGGAAAAAATGTTTTTAGAAAGTGATAGCTCTCCCTCATTTTGGGTTCTGTGTTCTTTACAATCTGCCTGTGAGAACAACAGTGGCAACCAAAGGGATGCAAAAGCTAGAAAAGCGAGCAAGTGAGCTGAAGTGGGCTCATCAAAGCATGGAGACAGTTGGTATTGCTTCTCTCGCAGTTCAAGCTTCAGGCTTGCTTTCTCTTGATCATTCATAGCTGTGCCCTAGTGTTGGTGAAAAAATGAACAAAAAAAAATAGATTTGATTCCCCTCCCCCTCCCCCACAGATCACTGAAGAGTGACAGTTACCAGTGATGTCACTTTAAATGCAGTCATCCCTCAGAAAATCCCTAAGCTATTGGTTCCAGGAGCCCTGTGATATCAGAATTCAAGCATGCTGAAGTCCCTGATACAGTCATAAAATGGTACAGTATTTGCATATAACTGATGCACATCCTCCTATATACTTTAAGTCATTTCTAGATTACTTATAATACCTAATATAACATAGATACTATGTAAATAGTTGTACTGTATTTTTCATTTACATTATTGTTGTATTATTTTTTATTGTTTTGTCCGAATATTTTCAATTCTTGATTGGCTGAATCTGCGGATGTAGAACCCACAGCTAAAGAGGGCCAACGTGTATAAGTAGATATATGTCAGTGCAAGTACTACTTACTCATATCCTGCCCTCTGGGGTATGGATTTTGGTGCAACACGCAAACACACACATATATCTTGGGTCAGAAGATAAAGTGTATTTCTTACTGTCTTTCACAGTTTCAAAAAAAAAAAACCTGGAAAGTCACTGATTTATTTATTTTAAATATGGCATTTATCAGAACAAAGTCACAGATTTCAATAAGTATTTTAGTCATACTTTTGTTATTGAGTGATGACTATTGTAATTTTGAAGTGATGGGCCAAAAAAAGACTTCATTAAAAGGGCTGATTGAAATTTGAAGACCTACCAGTATATTCTGAGCCTGTCGTGGGTTTCCATCACCTTCACTGGGGTTTGGACCTTACATCCTAGATCATTTCCCTTGTGGTGTTATATAGCCTGTGTTACTCAGAAATCTTTCCAGAACACAGTAGTGCTATAGCAGTTGATACATAGGAAGGAGGTGTGTATGTAACAACATCATAGCTTAGATTGGATCATCGTCTATATGGCAGGCATATAGCTTATTAACACACACCACTACACACACACAAAGCTTGCCGGTGACTAACAAAGAGTTAGTCTGCCAAAAAAAAAGTTTAGGTTGCAAAATGTTCAAAAGTTCAGTCTTGATGTAAGCATTAAGATATAAGAAAAGTAAGACTCCAAACTTGAGTTTTATGTAAGCTAGCAATACTGCTTTCTACTTGCCCTGTGTCTTTGATAATACTTGCGTGAATAAGATGCAATAGTCCCTTTATAAACATTGACTTGAATCTAGAAAAACATATAAAAGGTGAGATTTTTCTTGTGAATCTTGGATTTATACTTTTTAAAGCTTAATTTGAATTTATGATATTTGTATGCCTAACAGATTTTTTATGTTCAAATCATTCATATTATATATAATTAATAAGTGGTTAGACAGGAACATAAAAATATGTTCTTGTGTTTATGTAGGTGACCTAATTTTCTGTGTAATGTTTTTTCCTAGATTCTGTTTAAGTTATGGATGCCAGATTAGGTAAATTTAGTTCACTAGATGCAAACGTATGTATAAAATATTACTGTCTTACCAAATATAATCAAATGGTTTTTGTAAATGAGCCTTTATATATTCAAACATATCAGTTTTCTAATTTTAGTTTAATCATGTACAAAATGAGAATGATTAGTTCATTAGGATATAAGCAATTCCTTCCTAGATCAGGACCCATTGTTCATAAACCGCAGTGTTCTGAATGGTGGTGGGCCTGAAAAATAGGAATGCCTCTCCTTGGGGTATGAATTTCAGAAGGTTAGCATTTTAGTGAGCCTCTAGTTTCTTTAGCTATTAAAATAAGAATCTTTAAAAAAGTCTCCTATATCATTGTTGCAAAGATCAAATGATATATACTTCAAGTGCTTGGCACCTACAGATACTCAACAAGGTTAAGTTTCTAATCTCTCTATTCCTTGTCATGATGGCATTATAACTTACACTGTTACCATACAGTAAAAGATTTTTCATGTGACTTCCCTGCTTGAAAATATTTTGGGCTCT